AACTACATTCACAAGGTAACCAAAATAGTATTCAATTGAACGATGACCCCAAATCGCATCAATTCATCTAATTGGTGGGTCAAGATGAGTGGTGGTGGTGGAGTGAATTGTTGCACCCCTATAGCCCAACAGTTTGTGAGTTTCCATCCTTATTAGGGTAATACTTGAAACCATCATATGTCTAGGGTCAATACAATTATAACTGCTTAGTGCGATTCGGGAGGGAATGGGTTTGTTATGTATTACATATTACCGTGACATACTGCATTGTAAAGGAGTTGGGATCTCTTTAAAATTCAGAGGCCGTGGAGTCGATGTCAAAAACCCGGGGTTAAGAAGTGAGCCATGAAGTTTAAGCGATTAGAATTCATGGTTAGTGGGGGCCAAGGCTTGGCAAGTGCAAGGAGGGAGGGGTACGTTCTCAGTCAAGGGCTCAGGGTTAAGAGGTCAACCAGGGCTTCAGTGAAAAGGGCCCAACCCTCCTCCCTCCTCCTCATCGCCCTCCTTTTCCACGGCAAAAACCACCGGCCACAAAGCCACTCTGGGCACAACGAACTTTTGTGCCAGAAAATGAACACTTCGAGAGACAGAGCAACATAAGCCTATCAAGATTAAGATGTCATCATCATGGCCACGGCCACTTATGCCGCTACACCTTGCCATTGCTTGCTACTACCCTCTGCCAGCTCCCCGCAGCTGCTGCTCAGTAGACGCGGGAACTCCCAGCTCTGCCCTAACGGTATGTCAACAAATGCAAGCTTACAAGGGCTTTCGATTTAAATATTTCGTGACTGCAGGGATTCATCTTCTTGCTTCTTTCGGTAAAGTCACGTAGAAGGGAGATAATAAAATAATAAAAATAAAACATAATAAAATACAATTCTCACGACGTTTCGGCCACAACGCAAGCAGCCGTCCTCAGGTGAAGACCAGGTCTGTCAGGGAGACAGCTGTCTGCTGTCTGTTTGACAGATATGACAGACCTGGTCTTCACCTGAGGACAGCAGCTTGCGTTGTGGCCGAAACGTCGTGAGAATTGTTTTATTATTTTAATTTTTATTATTTTATTATTTCCCTTCTACGTGACTTTACCGAAAGAACCAAGAAGACTTACAAGGGCTACTCATTTATATGTATAGCCATATCTGTCAAAGCAGCGCTGGATGATTAGCTCCCCACGACACGCAGGTTCGTTGGAATCATTCGACAACCCCTTCACCCTGCTAGTTGATGATGGCAGAGAGCATAGACTGAGAGCGGAGTACAGTACAAAGGATTGTACCACATCGCCCCCCTCCGCTGCTCAAAACGTAGAACCGCAAACAGCCTATGGCAACCTGTTTGGTCCATGTGGGTGCTCATCCAAGCTCTATCCTGGTAGTTGCCGATTGTTGCTTAGTTTGAGATGGGATGAGATCGGACACATTCCGGGCGGTTTTGGTCAAAGGCAAACACAATAGCTAACGTACAGAGCGGTACAATCATGAAGGAAAACACACCGAATGTGTTCGAGGCTTTCCTGGGTAAAAAAAAAGTTAATTCTGACTGCGTAAAAGCAATTTACACGAGCACCTTGTACTGCTGTCATTGCCAATAACACCGATGCAATCGCTAAGTAATGGCTTCGTAATTTATTAGATTTTACACGCAAGATTTGTTTTGTACTGCACTTGTGTTCCCACGTCTATGCTCCCCCGTGCCACAACCCCCTCACCCCCCTTCCTTTCCAAACCTTCACCAACTCGCACTGACCAGTGTGGTGATGTGTGGTCAAATAACCACCACAAACTGTGCAGCGTGGGAAGGTTATCTTCCTACAGAGGATTGACAAAGGAGCTGTACACACACACACAATGAGAGTTTTTTTTTTCAGTAAACTGCGCAGCATACGTAAACATTCCAACTTGTGTGCGTTTAATACAAAATAAACCACATTCAACAGACAAGGGGACCTTCTATGGATTTAAATAGGGTGCTTAGGAGCTGTGACCTTGCAGAGACAAGTCATCCCGGACTAAGATGCTAGCAAAAAGAAAGAGCTTATTTACGTAATATGAAGCTAGGCAATTATTATGTTGACAGGATGCTACTGCAATGCATTTGAGAATCAATTATGTTAATGCATTATGACAGATTTGATCAAGATGGTACTTATAATAATTCTACAGTACGATAAGACTACTACAACTACAGTAATGCCCTTTAATACTCTTTAATTTTCCAGGAAAGAAGCACGGAGTCAATACTTTTTCATGAGGTTCCAGCATTGGGAGGTTTAACCAATTCCGTTAATGAGCATTTGGCGTATAGGAGAAAGTTGGAGTACCTAAATCAAAAACCCATGTATACGTGGGGCGACCCTTACGAGCTCCGTACGGACGGACTCAAGAATCTAGTGCTGGACTGCCATCTCCAGACCACCTCTGGGGCCGAGGCACCAACACTTCGCCGCCTCCAATCTAAATGCTCACGAGGTTTAACCCATCCTGGCCTCCAAGACCTAACGAGATCGAATGCAGTCGAGGTTGATTTGGTCGCGATGGCGATCATCGCGTTCTTTAAAAGATTGTTGACGTAAAATTGATGTTGTACCGTATCGCACTGCAGTTGAAGATAAAGCAACAGACCTCAGCAGTGGTGGTTGTACCATGCTTGTTGATGGTAGGTCCTGGCTGTTATGATGGTGGTTGTTGATGGTAGTTAAGATGGCGATTGTTGTCAATACTGGATGTTGGTGGTGTTGAAATTGGTGAATGATTGTTGGTAATTATAATTAATTGGTCATGCTTGTCACAGGTGGTGGTTACTATATTTTGCTTGTATTGGTAGATGTATTGGTTGATGTTAGAGTATCATTGGTGGCTAATACTATTTGTTTTTGGTAATACTTGTTGGGAGGCACCGATGATTTTTGGTAGTTGATGCTGGTGGACGTGGAAGATTACTGTTTGTTGGCGGCGGTGGTTATATTGTTGTTAGTAGCAGGGAATGGTTTTGTTGGTGGTTTTTCGACGATTGTTAATACCCATTGTTGGGCATAAGTCGAGTACGGTAGTAGTTACAGGATGATACAATGGGATGGTTCATCTTCTTGGTTCTTTCGGTAAAGTCACACAATACAATAATTCTCAGGTGTCGGGGAGACACCTGAGGACGGCTGCTTGCGTTGTGGCCGAAACGTCGTGAGAATTATTGTATTATGTTTTATGTTTATTATTTTATTACTTCCCTTCTACGTGACTTTACCGAAAGAACCAAGAAGATGAATCCCTGCAGTCACGAAAGCTTTAAATCTAAATTTAATGGGATGGTTATTGTTGTTACTACTGCAGTGCCCTTCACGTCACCCACTGCCTACCACCACTATCTGGGCCACCAACACAACGACCATCAATACAAATGGCAAAACCGCCAACACCAATTGCTCATGACACCACAACCACCACTCGCCACCAAGTTGACCAATTACCTCTATCCACACCACTTACTACAGCCACCACCCATTGCAAACCCTGACATCACCACCCATGCTAGATACTTCATAACCACCATCACGAGCACCACAACAACATTACCACCACCAACCACATTATCAACACCATCAACATCGCAACCAGCACACTCGCTAACGCCATCACCCTCATCAGCTACACCACAAATACTATCAAAATCACCATCAACCATGCACTAGCATACAATTACCACCACACACTAATACTACCACGAAAAGCAATAACCACCACCATTCATACAAATACCACCACCACTAACACCACCATAACTGTCAACACACCACACCCCCTAACCACCACTACAATTTTACCACGGTTAAAAGTGTACCACTTCCAATACCACCACTAACCACACACGGCCACAAACCACGACTACGGTACTCATACCAGCCAGTGCCGGAGTATACTAGTAGCAAAAGTAGCTACATATGTAGTAGCTACGGGCCCCGCACTTTCAAGGGCCCCGCACTAAACGCTTTCAAGCTATCAATTCCGGTTCAGTGATTCTGCACTTGCTCTATTACTATAGTACTATACCGCCTTTAACTGTTATGAACGACTGGGTGTTTAAGGTTAGCGATTTGTCGTATTATCTGGCTGTATAGCAAATGAAAAAAATACAATTACTTTACTATGCAAGTTAAACATTTGTTTAATATTCATGGGTTTTTTAGGGCCCCTTTATAACATATGCTAAACTCCGCACTAGCTTAATCCGGCACTGATACCACCACCTTCACCAAATACTATTATTTATACCACACTACAAATACTATTATTTATACCAAATACAGATCCTCTGGAAAGAATGAACAGACGGTTTCCACATCCCACAAGGGAGTCATTTGAGGCCGAGACGATCTAGGAGAGGGCCCAGAAACGATTCAGAAATTTCGCCACTTGTGTTGGTCGTGAGCGGGAATCGAACTTGGGTGGCCGGGAAGGTTGCGGAGCGTGCCAACCGCTGCACCACCGCTCCCACGATACGAATCATGATTGTTGTACTGCACCGCCACTGTCACCTAGAAAGACAAATTATCCTCCACCCCCGCTGTAACAGATTGTTGGGGCAAGTGCTGTTAGCGAGCACCTATGAAGGCCGGCACGGCAACACGAGGGGGTGGGTGGCCGGCACCACTCCCGGCCGCCTTTGTCTCCCAAGTGGCGATGTTTTTAACACACCGCACCAGGTTCTCATTTGAGGCCGAGTCGACCTAGGAGAGGCCCAGGACCGGTTCAGATAATCGCCACCGGTGTCGAACTCGGGTGGCCGGGTTTTGTCGTGCAGCGCGCTAAGCGCTACACAACTCCACCACCTCACAACCACCACCACCATCATCACCATCACCACCTCACAACCACACACACACCACACCATCACCACCACCACCATCATCACCATCACCACCTCACAACCACCACCATCATCACAACACTACACCATCACCACCACCATCACCACACTACACCACCACCCCACGCACTCACTGCTTGGCGGCGAGCAGCTGCAGGGCCGTGTCGAGGCTCTCTCCCCGCAGCTCCCCGTCAGTCACCCAGCCCGAGCAGCCGGGCCGCACGGGCATGCTCGCCTCGTCTCCCAGCGGGGGGCCGAACTCCTCCAAGAAGCGGCGGAGAAACGAGGAGGCCGAGGAGGAGGACGAAGCCACGCGTTCCGGACTCCCCGCCATGTCGCCCGGGCATACCCGGGGCCCACGCCAGCAGCAAGCGGCAGCCCCTGAGGCTGCTGACCACAGCAGCCGGGGTAACCCAAAGCCAGAGCTCAGGTCTAAACACACTCGCGACTAAGTAGCCACGCGTTGGCTGGCTGGCTGGCTTGGTTGCTTGCTTGCTTTGTCGGGAGAACTGTTGAGCCGGCCGAACGAGATATCAGATTGGTTTGGTTTCTCCTCTACAACCAAACACGCGGCAAAGTCTTTAAGTAGGGCAGGGCCCACCGGCTAAGCTGGCTTGGTTGAGTACTGTAGTTGCTGCTGCTGCTGAGTGATGTCTCTCTCTCTCTCTCTAATTGTGAGGGGTGTGGAGGAACTAAGAGGGCCTTACCGTACAGCTCGGCGTAAACGCCGACACTGATGCTGCTGCTGTGTGGTGTCCACACCGCCCCCCTCCACCACGCGGCCTTTGAGCTACGAGGCCACGCCCACGTCGCCCCTAGCCACGCCCACCACGTCTCGAACCACGCCCACGTCGCCCTTAACCACGCCCACCGCGCCCACGTCGTCATTAGCCACGCCCACGTCGCCCCTAGCCACGCCCACGTCGCCCCTAGCCACGCCCACGTCGCCTTTAACCACGCCCACGTCGTCATTAGCCACGCCCACGTCGCCCCTAGCCACGCCCACGTCGCCCCTAGCCACGCCCACGTCGCCCTTAACCACGCCCGCGTCGTCATTAGCCACGCCCACGTCGCCCCTAGCCACGCCCACGTCGCCCTTAGCCACGCCCACGTCGCCCCTAACCACGCCCACGTCGCCCCTAACCACGCCCACCACGTCCCGAACCACGCCCACGTCGCTCTTAGCCACGCCCACGTCGCCCCTAACCACGCCCACGTCGCCCTTAACCACGCCCACGTCGCCCTTAACCACGCCCACGTCGTCATTAGCCACGCCCACATCGCCCCTAACTACGCCCACGTCGCCCTTAGCCACGCCCACGTCGTCATTAGCCACGCCCACGTCGCCCGTAACCACGCCCACGTCGCCCCTAACCACGCCCACGTCGCCCTTAGCCACGCCCACGTCGCCCTTGGCCACGCCCACGTCGCCCCTAACCACGCCCACGTCGCCCCTAGCCACGCCCACGTCGCCCCTAGCCACGCCCACGTCGCCCTTAACCACGCCCACGTCGCCCTTAACCACGCTCACATCGCCCTTAGCCACGCCCACGTCGCCCTTAGCCACGCCCACGTCGCCCTTAGCCACGCCCACGTCGTCATTAGCCACGCCCACATCGCCCCTAACCGCGCCCACGTCGCCCGTAACCACGCCCACGTCGCCCTTAGCCACGCCCACGTCGCCCCTAACCACGCCCACATCGCCCCTAACCACGCCCACGTCGCCCCTAACCACGCCCACATCGCCCTTAGCCACGCCCACGTCGCCCTTAGCCACGCCCACTCCCGATCCTGACATTACCACCACCACCACATTTCACCCAGAATCTGAATATTTATTTAGACTGGAGGAATCTGACGAGCTATCAAATCTTTTGTTGTTGTTTTTCTTTCACAGATGTCCATTAGGGGCAGGTCGGAAGGTTTCAACAACAAACAATATAAAAACACACGATAGTATAGGAAATGTAAACACATCACTTTAAAAATATATATGTACAAATACAAACGAAACATTTTTTTTAGTCTTACCAGGTAAATCCCACTGAGCTATTAGCTTATTTTTCGGAAGCCACCTGGCCACAAATGATAATCCACCACACACCCACACTGCCTGTGACATTGGATAACACATTGTATGCAGTGGCATCAGTGCACAAGCACACACAAAAACCTTAACATTTGTAAATACCACAGTGACCTTAAAAGCCAAACTTATAGCATGTGCTATGAAGGGCAGGCCATTGTATTTTATTTTAAGGCCTCAGTGTTATTGACTATTGTGTCGAGTTTTTGATTAGAAGTCGGCATGTAACGATTCACCGGAGTAATGGCGAAAACATTGATTGCGTCAATTAAATTCAAGCAAGAATCGATCACTTGTGTCTGTTTTTGCTGTCTAGTTCTTGCGCTATGCCGCATTCATTGACCCGAACAAGGCTTTTGACACAGTCAGTCGTGATGGTCTCTGGAGAATACCTTCCAAACGGGGCTGCCCTCCCAAGTTCCGTACCATGGTGCAGCAAGTACTCGTCGGCAGTGGCGGCTCCTGCAAAATCTCTCAGGGGGGGCAAATGTCTGGATGATTGATAAGGATAAGGTCCACCCATGCAATGGATAAATTAACAGCTTAAGCATGTAAAGGCAACTTCACTTCTTTAATATTAATGAAAAATAAAGTGACTCTTACAATACATCTTGTTTGTTTCTATACTCACTATTAATACAATCCACTCAAGTTTATTTTATTAAAGATTCCACTAGGTGGACGACAAATTATATTGTTGGATGAAACGTGCTTACGTATGATGACGTAAGCACGTATGATGACGTAAGCACGTTAGTGCGAGCCCTCCCGGAAGCCATAGAGAATGCATTGCAGCGCCCCCGTTCGAAAAAAAAACATCTTTGAATGTAAGTCTATGGGGCCACTCGGGGCGATTCTCAGCCGAAGTGAAATCGCCCAAAAAGAGGCGGTACTCCACAGAACGTGACATGACGCTGATTGGACTATATCCAGAGGCACAGTGACGGCTAGCGTGACTCTGTGGTTGAATGACATTGGTGGTGCGTCGCCCAATCGCCCTAATGAAGAAACCGCCCCTGCTCGTCGGACAGAAAGGCCACGGGTCAAACACAAAGGAAGCGTCTCAGACAGCTTCCACATCAACAATGGGGTCAAGCAAGGTCGCGTGCTGACACCTTACACTCTTCGCCATATTCTTCAACCCGATGCTCCAGCAGGCAAAGCAGGGGCTGACAGAAGGCCTCTACATCCGATTCCGGACCCATGGCAATCTTTTCAATCTTCGGAATCTCTTTGCCAATAACAAAACCACGGAGCAATATGTTTTGGAACTGCTGTTTGCAGATGACTGCGCACTTCTTGCACACACGAAGAAGGCCCTATACAGCTCATTGTGAACTGTTTATCTGAGGCAGCTAATGCTTTTGACCACTCACTTCGCCTCACCACAAAGATACATGTATACAGGGCAGTTGTCGTAACCACCCTTCTATACGGCTCAGAATCCTGGGTCCTGTACAGGAACCAGCTTGGGCTGCTGGAGCATTTCCACCAGCGCTGCCTGCATTTCATCATGAACGTCAGATGGCAGAACTATGTCACAAACAACGTAGTCCTGGAGAAAGAGATCAGACACCCAGCATTGAATCCATCTTGCTGCCTCGTCAGCTCCGCCGGGCTGGCGACGTCTCGCGCATTGAGAACAAGAGGATACCCAAAGCGGTCGTCTACAGCAGGGGTCCCCAACCCCCGGGCCACGGACCGGTACCGGTCCGTGGCCTGTTAGGAACCGGGCCGCACAGCACGAAGTGAGCGGTGAGTCCGCGCGTGGCCCGCCCATTATTTTATTTACCACTTCCATCCGCGCCTCTTTCCCGCACTGCGCACTTGTCTCAGCCACAGTGTTGACAAGCCCACAAGCTGCTAACCCCTAGTAGCCACAATGAGTAAACAACAAACGTCGCTGGAGAGCTTCTTTGAAAAGGTGGAAAGACCCAATGATGACTCCCCCCCCCCACCCCGGTCCGTGAAAAAATTGTCTTCCACTAAACCGGTCCCTGGTGCCAAAAAGGTTGGGGACCGTTGATCTACAGCGAGCTATGTCATGGGAAGCGAGACAGGAGTGGACCTTGCAGATGCTTCAAGGACCAGCTCAAACAGCAACCGACCACTGCAGGTATCGACACCCGAAGCTGGGAGCTCAGGGCATGCGGACAAAGAACATTTGCGCTCCACGGCACAAGGAAGCGACTAAAATGGCGGACCGAAGGAGGCACACAGCCTCAACAGAAAAACGGAGGCGCAGAAAGACTACCACCACGGACATGTCCCCGAAATGCACCACCTGCCACGAAATCTGCAAGTCAAGGATTGTCCTGTACAGCCTGTACATCCACCAGCGCGCCTGCCAACTACACGGATCTTCGCAAGCGAATAACCAGCCGACGACGACGAGTTTTGCGCTATTCAGCTTCTTTTGTTACAATAGCCTAAATTTACATTTTCAGATGGCAATGTGCTCAGGAGCTAAATGACAATGTAGAGGTCTGCGAGACACTAGAGGGCTTCAGGAGGGAGTTGGTGTAATTCTGATATTCAATTAAGGGAGCGTAGACTATGGTGCTTTACGACTGTTTTTGACTGTTTGGGTTGCGATGCTACAAATCGCACTGTGGCTTGTGAGTGCCAATGATCCCTTCTTGCATAGTAAGTTGTATTGTTTTACTTTAAGCCTTGGTTTTTAAGAGTTTGGACAACTGCATAGATTTCCAGCCAAATGTCTCTTCATTTAGTTCACATGTGCTAGTGTGGAGTGCCATTTGATGTTTAGTCGTAAAAATATGAACAGTTACACTGGGACTGCATGTCCAAAGTAACGAATATAAAAGATTAGTCAGGAAAGGAGACATGCTTTCAGTAAACTAATTAACAGCAACATGATAATATGTGTTCTTAAAATTGGAATAGTTAAAGGCATAATAGTGAATGGATATGGACATGAGGCATGTATGGAAGAACCTAATAAAAAGGTTGCAATGTTGGTTCCATGATGAATGATACGGTATAAACAAAAGTAGACACAAAAAGTTATTTGACTAAATATGACCTTATTGAGAATGAACATCATCGGCTATCAGCCATCAGAAACTGTATATATCCTAGAGAAATCCGATGAGCTATGCAGCTCTTTTTCACCGATGTCCTGTCGGGGTGGGTCATAAAGTTACAACACCAAAATATAAATAAACAATATGGGTGCAAAGTACGCACACAAACAGCGATGATATAAGCTCGCGGATTGTTAACATCGTGTCACCGCAACAGATGGTGGCGGTTTGGGGAGGCCTTCGTCCAGCAGTGGACAGATCGTGGCCGGTGGTGACAATGAAAGTTGATAATTGGTTTTTTACCCTTCTATCTGGCAACAAAACTGACACCTTTTTTACAAGGAGTCATGTTTACATAGACCACAATACCTGCAGCCATAATGCAAACAAAAAACATAACGCCAAAAGGCGTCATCTGGTCCAACCCATGTGAGACTAGGCTCTAAGGAAAGCTGTCTCGGGTGTGGACCAATCAACTTCAAGGACAGTGCACATACATTATCAGAGTTATGTTTTTTGTTTGCATTATGGCTGCAGGTATTGTGGTCTATGCAAACATGACTCCTTGTAAAAAAGGTGTCAGTTTTGTTGCCAGATAGAAGGGTAAAAAACCAATTATCATATTTTTTACTGGCAAATGAGGT